GTCAGTCCCTTTGGTATGCAATATCAGTGGTCCGATTGCAGCCAAGGGCTATCCACCACCCCTGCGGGGTCTCGGCCCAGAGAACAGCTTCCCTTGCTCCTCCACACTTCCAAGGGCGGGGGATTGTTTCTTTGGAAGGAGGCGCCGGTTACCAAGTCACAGGGAAGAGGAGGCTGCGGGACCCAGCTGGGAGGACAGCCTACTTCACTCTCTACTCGGCCCTTCCCGTTGTGGAGTCTGTCCGTTTGGCCAGCAGCTCCGGCTACCAAGTCACAGCAAAGAGGTGACCACGTGTCTCCGCTTGAAGAGCGGCCTCCTTGGTTACTAGACACTCTTAGGGGTGTGTGCTGTCTCTTTGGTGTAAAATAGCCTAGCCATGGAGATGCAACAAACGGGCTGCCACGGTCATGGGTTTCAGAGATACACACACACACATATACACACACACTGAAAAAGAGTAAAAAGGAAAAAGAAAGAAAAGAAAAAAATAAAAGAAAAAGGACAACAGAGGAAAGAAAAAAAAGAGAAAAAAGGGAAAAGAAAGAGAAAAAAGGAAAAAGGAAAAAAAGAAAAAGAGAAAAAAAAAAAGGCGACCCCTTTACTCCACCCAGGGCAGTAGACCGTCCCTTTCGCGTGAGGCATGGGGGGGGGAGGTCGAGTCGCCTGGGAGAGGGGGTGATTATGTCATTCTGGATCATGGCTCCACAAGCGGTCTCCTTTAGTTCACCATCTTTTTGGCGCATAGCGCCGGTGGCTGAATGGAACGGGGCCACCCGAGATCGCCTGGCAACTCAGCCAGTAAATCGATCTTTCTCCCTTTTCCACCCTTTCGAAGGTGGAGCTTGAGTCGCCGGCTCGGACAGAGTGTCCGCAGATTTGGGAGAGAAAGCGGCTTCTCGCGTTATTCTCCTCCTCGAAGAGCGTGACCAGCTCTGTCTGGTAGAGGCAGAGGCGCTGACTCAGACCGTTGCCTGGGCAACAGGCCTCAGTAGTTTTAGGCTTTGGACTCCCAAAATGGTGGCTGCCCACCCACTGAGAGTCAGCGCTGGAGACGACTGCACCGGGCGGGTAACCGGAGCTGGGTTTGTGGCCCCTATCTCCGGGAGCTGTCTCCCAGAGCCGCCCGCAGAGCCCACTGCTTCCCCAACACACTGAGACTCGACAGATCAGCAGGAGGACTCTGTGCTCTGTTCCTCCCAACGCCAGCCAAATCTTCGGCGATTTCCACGGGCAGAGCCTCCTTTATGGTGTTCCCCTCCCGCATCGGGTCCTGGCGATCTCCTGTGGTGAGAACCCTGTCTCCAAACTTTCCCCTGTGGGCTCAGGAAGTGTCTGATCCAGGATGTGTCTGCTCGGAACAGCCCCTCCCCACCCGAAGCAGACCTAGCACCGTGCACAGGAGAGTTCAAAATGCTTCCTGCTCCTGTCTCCACTCCCCACCGCCTGTCTGCCCGTGCTACCACTTCGCACTGACTTCAGGAGCTTCCCTGCCTGCCTGGGTGTGGGGGTTGGTGGAGGAAGAGTCGCCTTCCTGTGGGTCAGATCACACTGCCCCGGCCAGCCTGCGGACGGGCGCGGCCGTCCCACGCTGCACTCCCCGCTGTTTGTCCCGCGCTCGCCTGAATTTGCAGTTGATTCTCCGGTTCACCTTTTTTTTCTGCAGCACCGCTTGTCCCTCGCTGCTTCTCTGCAGATTCGCGAAGCTGATCCTGTGGGAGAGTGGCTCACTCGCGTGTGGCTGTCCGCGTTTTTCACCTCCTACTCTGGGAGCAGAGAGCAAGGCGGTCACCCCTAATCCGCCATTTTTTGGTCTCTTGCCCTGGCAAGTTAAAGGTCGAGTGCAAGGGACTGGACTCTGTTGTCCTCTCTACTGAGGAGTGGGTGGTCCCCTCAGCTCTCACTCAGTTTCCTTAATTTGGCTCTTAGCAGAACCTGGGGATCCCTTCTTTCTTGAATTGAGGTCCTCTCCTCATAAAAGACCTGCACCTCCCTGAGATCCAATAGGGGAAACTGAGGGTGGCCTCATCTGGCAACTGACCATGGTCTCTCAAGAGAGATAGCTGTGGCAGACTGGTTGAGACCCTACCAGTGAATTGTCCTACTCAGGGTCCTATCTTGGGATCCCAAATCTGACTCATAGGAAGGCCTAAGAGTCCTCCCTCTGCTGAGCTGGGACTGACCCCCTCACACCAAGACCCCCACTTCTCTCTTACTCCTGAGGATATGAGGGTGCCTCTGTCTGACATTTATGTCTGAATCTCTCTAGGGAGGATACTGATCAGTTCCCACTGATAGGGGTTTGGTGGTTCCTGCACTCTTCAGTGTACTCACTTTATTCCTGGCATGCTTTGGAAATCTTCCCTTTATGGATCTGACTCAGCCAGCCTCAGAAATCTCCTGGAAACCTCCATAGTAGAAATCGGGTTCAGCCACATCCTGTCAAGACTATTTGGAAACTCTGTGGGCTGCCAGCAGGGTCGAAAGGCTATGGATCACACCGCTCTGGGTAGGTGCTTCCCTCATTCCTTGTTCAGGGTCCTCAACTTCATATGTGTCAGAGACTGGACCTCCCCCTTCTGCCGACCTGAGGTCACCCTCCTCACGGCAGGACTCACAAGTCCCTGAGAGCCTTGAAGAGTAAGTGAGGAGATGCTCAGCTGTCAACTTTGCCTGGCATGGTGCTCTCCCCAGTCCTCCTATATAGGGGTTTTATCTTGACTCCTGTCCCTTAATTACAGACTTCCTGGGACATGCCACATCCCTACAAACTCTTAACCAGTTTCCCTAAGACAAATCCTGGAGAGAAGATATCCCTGTCCCAGCAGTGGTGTAAGATAGGGAAGCTAAAACACAGGGCAGAGGCCCCAGGACAGATGCTGTACACTCAGAGAAAAAAACACATTGATCTATTCTTTCTTTTTTGCCAGCCAGATTTAGGCTCTTATGTATTTCTGTTCAAAAACATTTAACTTTCTTTTAAAAGGAAAGGGCTGTCCAGGATGACAGAATTTGAGCCCATGATCTTTTGAGGTTACCTGACTTTGCATATGTGATCATACTTTCACCAAATATTATCTTTCTCTCCTTAATTCACACGTCTCAATCATTTTGGTATTTTTATTGCTCTTGTTATGTATTCTAATCCAGCAAATTGGGCACAGAATCCTTCTTTTTATCACCTGAGATATATTTGGGAGCGGTGAGAAGAAAAGTGAATTAAGAGACACAGTGAGCCTCAGGCTGGGAAGTGTGTACAGAGGGGGCTTTACACTAATTCAGACAAGGGGTCTTGTCCCAGTTCCCTTAATTACTAGCCATGTGAAATTGGGCAGGTTACCAAACTCTGTGAGCTTCAGGCTTTTCATCTGCATAGTGGGTTTGATAAGCTCTGTCTTGTAGGACTGGTAGAATGTGTATAATGTATGTAAAGTGCCTGAAATGTACTGAGACTTCTAAAAATGCCAGTTCTTATTATGATTAATTTGTCCCCTTACATTACAGTCCACTACCCTGGGATTTATTTTCCAATCGAGGAGATGTCAGAGATTATGCCACATTCTAGGAAAAAAGGAAACCCTATCAGACAAAGTGCTGCTTAGCAAGGAAAACTAAGTAATATTTTCCCATTATATGATAAATCATTCAATGTCAGTGTGAGGTAGACTTCTTCAGTGAATGCAACATAAAGCTTCTAAAATGTTTCAAGAACCAAAAACTTCCCTCTCTCTCAGCTGCCCTTCCCCCTAAACCACTTCTATTTCTATTCATTTAACCACTATCCAAAAAATCTAGATCTTGCCTAGAGTTTGCCAAATTACACATAAGATAACCTAATTTACTACCCTTTTAATAAAATGGGCTCAGGATTCCCCAGGTCAGGGCAAAGAGTGTCAGCACAGTGGCTTCTGGGAAACTCACCTCAAGGGAGTATCACCCTTATTTCTCAGAAACTTTCTGGAGATGATATGCATAGTACATCTAGTTCGTGCACTATGTTCAGCTGCACCGGGACAAGAGCACAGGACACCTTCCATTCCTGTCTCTGGTGGAGATTCTCTCTGGTTTATCCATGATACCAAAGTAACTGTTAAGAACTATTTCCCATTCCAGACTTTGTCTCTCAACTCTGAGAGGCACTATCTAAGGGTCTGGCCCCTGCTCACCACTCCTACAGCTTCATTCAGCCCACTATGCAGCCCCACTTAAAATTACCTCTCACTGAGGGACTTGGAGTTTCCCAAGGCCTGACACTGCCTTGATCAGGTAATACACACTTGACTGCTCTCATCTGGAACCACCTCCCTCCCTTCTTATCTGTGTTGATTCATCCTTTTGGTCTTAGAGTGTATATCATCATTTTTCTTACATGGTGGTTACTTCTCAACCTTACAATTTTATGATCAGTTGCTAGATCTTCTTTTTCTTAGCTCTCCCAGTACTAGCACGGAGCTCAATTAATATTGGCAGACTAAGTGAGCCTATGAGTCTGGGGTCTAATCTGTTATGATTTAATTTTACATTTTTGAATAAGCCAGGCACATACAGTTATTTATCTTTTAATTTTATAAAACACAGGTTCAAAGGGTTTAGGAAACCAAATATTGACCATCTTACTCTTTTGTTCTATTTTTTGATTCCACATATTTTACTGCTGAGTTTTTTCACATTTTCAAGGAAATTATGCCAATTCCAAGTGACTTAGCATCTGATTACTGAAAGATGGAAGTTTTCTCAATTTGTTCTACAAAACAGCAAAACTTTTACGTTTAAACCAGATAAACAGTGCGATTAATATCATTCATAAACTTAGATTATAATGCTAAATAGAAGGAATATTTGAAAAATACCCCCCAATACAGATAAATCTTAAAATTACCCATATAGAACAAGAACACAAAGATATTATATACTATGTTCCCTCCAGTCACACCCAGCCTTCCACTACTTGGAACACTGACCGCCCTCTTCAACCACAAAGTGGAAAATCTGCCTTAGCTTCACTAGGTGTGGGAATAGCTTCTGGACATGGCCCTGGAACATTTACTGGCTGTGGCATTGCTGCTATCATTGACGGTAACTGTGGCTTGTGCTCTCTCTTCCTCTCTCAACGCCTCTTCATACCGGGACTGGAAGGCACTGGGGACTGTGTGATTGACCTTGGCCAAAAACTCCAGGACTCTCATCTTGGTTGTTTCAGCATGGGCTCTTGGACCCCACAGGAATTCATAGCGTGCAGGATCACTGTTGGCCACCTGCCGATACTCCAGGTATTTAAGCTTCACCAAATCTTGGGTGATGAGCTTCCTGGGCTCCCCAAATATGAAGTGTCTCTTTCCAGCATATACTTTCATCTTATTCAGGAATTCCCAGATCTCCTCCTCAGTGGCGCAGTTGCCCTTCATGAAGATCACACCCAGGAGATTCATCAGGAGACCGGTCTTGGGAAACCCCCGACCACGACTCACCCTCCCATTGTTGGGGAGGGCCATTTTGCTCACAAGGGCATAAGAATGCTTGGCAGAATCAATTTCCTTTAAATCAACACCAAAAACCACCTCCATGTTGACAGAAGCTCTTCTTAGGATCCCAAGGAAGTGATTCTTGTACTTTTTATTGACAATCTTCAGCATATCTGCTTTCATAACAGGCCTTTTCGTTTTGTACATTTGCATCAGGAACTGCACCAACATACCGGTCGTCTTGGTTAGAGAGACTCTTCGAGACTGCACAGTGGAGGATGGGGCCTGGGAGGATCTTTGCTTTTTCTCAACTTTGCCATTGACTCCTTTGCATGATCTTGGGTGAGAAACACCTACAGACACAGTGGTGGATAGGGCTCCCCGAGGCCTCTTGGGAGTGCTATGTGACCTAGCAGCAGACTGTGTCCGGGTAATAACCCCCGAACAAGAAGAGGATGAGGAGGGGGATTTTTCCTCCTTGGCTGCAGTGGCCTTAGCATCCCGGAGACCCTGGGTCTCACCTTGGGCCTTGTGGCGTTTCTCATGGGCACGGAGCTTACTCTTCTTACCCCGAGGCATGATGACTGTTCTCAGGGACAGCAGGCAGGAATATGGGCAGTAGAGCAGATGAGGCAGGAACCTGGAGGAAAGAGGATGACAGGGCATGAGCACCTTCAGCAGGGAGATACCACTTTGGCTTTAAAAAGGTCACCTCTGCAGGTTTCTGTGAGAGCACTGCTCTAGAAATTCAGAGGCCTCGTGTTCTTTCTGGTCAGTTTGTCCTTTGATAACCCTGCGGAAGTAATTAAAATGTGCCTCAGGCTGCAGCCTACCAGCCCTCCCTGTTGCATACTAGGACTTAGAGCAGCAGCAACAGGTCTACTCCTTGTGGATCCCCTTCTACTCTCGGTTGGGGGTGTCCCCTCACTTCACATTCAGGACAATCATATCAACTGTCAGCAGGGCCTGGGTCCCTTCCCATATGCTACACTAAATTTGACACCTCCAGTCAATATACTCATCTCCTTGAGATCCACTAAAAGGAAGTGAAGTGATGCCTCAGCCCACCACTGTTGCCAGGGGGCACTTGGTGCTAAGAGCTCTGTGGAGGCCCACTCTGTTCTGGGATTAGGGTCCTGAGACCTCATTCAGGCTCCTCACCTTGTCCTTAAGTAGGATCTGGACACCTGCCTCTGCTGATCTGATGCCTCTTTCTTCAGACAAAGGCCCTCAGCAACCTATTGTCATCAAAAAGAAAGGAGAGTTCATGTATGCCTGACCTCCTTGCCTGGGCTCCTCAGGGCTGCAAGTAGGAAGGAGCGACTCTCTGTTGTCTCTTCTTGCTTGGGTCAGTGAGTGGCACAACCAGTCCTCATTCAGGGTCCTCACCTTGATTCCTGTAAGCTCTGGGTCTCCTACTTCAGTAGACTTGGGGCACGCAATTAGTACAAGCTTTCTGGCACTCCCGAGGTATAAACGGCGCACCTGATCCTGACCGTTACCCTGAGGCTTTCCAGGGCTGTGAGAAGGGGCAGAATTTATGGGACCCCACTTTTTTGAGTTGATGTTTCCCTTAGTCCTCACTCAGGTCTCTGACCTTGACTCCTGGCAGGACTTGGGACACTTCCCTCCACTAACCTAAGTCCTCCAGCCTCCCCCCACCTGTGACTACCCTTGCCTGGTGCCTTGCAGAAATGAGTGCAGAGACACTGTTTTGCCACCTCTATTAGGGTGGCACTTCATTAGCACTCAGGGCCCTCACTTGGACTTCAATTAGGGCCTAGGTGTCTATCTGCAGAATCAGGGCCACTTCCTGAGACCAAGGCCCTGTCCCCTACCCCCACCCCAAACCCAACCCCCACCCCCGGCAGCTTTTTTGCCGTATCCCAGGTCCCACTGCCGGGGCAAAACTTAGTGGGATCCCCTTTGTTATAGGTGAGGGGTGGTCCCTTCAGTCCCGGTCCAAATTCCGGGTCCTCCCCCTTTACTCCAGACCAGTCCTGGGAATTCACTCTCCGCCTACCCAACACTGCACGCCTTACGCCGAAGACGCCACCTTCGCAACGGAAAAGAGGAGGAGCCACATCCGGGTACTGCCGCCGGCCGGCCGTTTCCGAGGGTGTACAGCAGCGGGGGTGGGGGCGGGGGACGCCGTGAGACCTCACTGTTCTCGAGTCGGTGGTCCCTAGGTCCTCACTCAGGGTCCTCACCCTGATATCCAGCAGAGTCTGGGACTCCTCCCCCTACTGACCCTAGTCCACCAGACTCCAAACAAAACCCTCACATTCCTGAATGCCTAGGCGGGAAAGTCAGGGCCTCCCTCCCGCTTATAAGTACCCGTCTGCAGCCTCCTAGAACTGAGCGCAGGGACGCTGCTGTTTTGTGTTGCCGTCCCTACTGGGGAGAGATCCCCTCATTTATCGTTCAGGGCCATCACACTGACTCCAGTCAGGGCCTAGATCTCCTCCATCTGCACAATCGAGGCTACTCCCTAAGCCCAAGACCCTCCCTTCCTTGAGACTTTCCAGACACAATTCTGCCAGACAGCTCTGCCAGGACCTCCCAGGGTCGAACACAGGGGCGGGACTTTGCGGGGCCCCCCTTTTATGGATGGAAAGTGGTCCCTTGATTCCCCACTCGGGGTCCTCACCTTGATTCTGGACCAGTCATGGGAATTCAGCCTCAGCCACTGACCCAACACTGCCGTTTAAACAGGTCCTCACTTTCAAAGCGGAAGTGAAAATGAGCCTTTCTGGTCCGGGATCTCTGAGGGCAGACAGCAGAGATGGGACACTGTGGGACCCCACAGCTCTGGAGTCCGTGGTTCCTAGGTCCTTACTCAGGGTTCTCACCGTGTTGTTGACAGAGTTTGGGATTACTCCCTCTGCTGGCTTGAATCTGCCAGCCTGCAAATAAAGCTCTCACTTCCGTCAGCCCCTAGTGGAGTAATCTAGGCACAAATGATGATCGCGTCCTGGGGCTTCATAGGCCTGAAAACAGGATCGGGGCTTTTGGTGGCCCCCTATTTTGGGAAGAGGCCCCCTGATTAACACTGGTGATCCTCACTTAGACTCCAGTTAGGGCTGAGACTCCTCACTCTGAAAAAGTGAGTGTCTAATACACTACTCTATTAGACAAGACCCTCCCCTCTCTGAAATCCTCCAGGCTGAAATGAGGGGCACCTCAGCCTTATAGCTCTGCCTGGGTCCTCTCAGGGTTAAGAAGAGGGGAGGGGCTCTGTGAAATCCCATCATTTGTGGGTTTAGTGATCCCTTTTTTACTCACTCGAGAAACCTCACCTTGCTCCTGGCCAGTCCTGGAACTCCAACCTCCCTGACATGAACTCTGTTCAGATCGAGGTCCTCTCCTTCCTGAAACCTCCCAGGGGGAAGTTAGGGTGAGCCACATTAGGCCAGGGACGTTCAGGTCCTATGAGGGCTAACAGCAGAGTCGGGTTTCTACGGGACACCACTGTTCTGGTTCCCCATATTCTTCATTCAGTGTCCTCATCTTGCATGTATCAGACCCTGGGATCATCCCTCTACTTAACTGAGGTCACCGTCCTTAGGTCAAACCTCTTACTTCACTGAGAACTATGGAGAGTAAGAGAGAACGCCCAGTCTGACTGCCCTGCCTGGGGCATTCTAGGTCTGAAAGCAGGTTTGGGCAGATTGCTGCATGACTCTCTATATTTTGCAGTGGTTGTCTCCCCAGTATTTATTCATGGGTGTCCTCATTTTTTCTCCTGTCTCTTGGATTAAAGGCTTCCTGGGAAATGCTATATCCCTGCAAATTCCTGAGCAGCGTCCCCAGGGCAAACCTTGCTAGTCCATGTCCCACATCTGATGTGAGATGAGGACACTGTAACACAAGGCAGGGGACCCACCATAGGTGATGGGTTGTCAGAGAAAAATGATGCTAATTTATCCTCCTTTTCAATAGACAGTGTTAGCCTCTTACCTGACCTCTATTTTAATTGATTTACTTCTGAACAAGAAGGAGCTGTCCAGAACGGTTGTGTAATCCCTGATTTTGAGGTTATCTGACTTTGCATAAGTAGATGATCATATTGTCACTGAATAATCTTTTTCTCCTCTTTATTAATAACTTTCATTTATTGTGGTAGCCTTAATTCCTTTGGTTATGTATTCCAGTACAATTCTGTGGGCACAGAGTCCTTCTTTTTAATCCCCTGAGATATATTTGGGAGTATTGAGAAGAAAAGTGAATTCAGAGACACAAGGTCTATTTCAGGCAGAGAGGAATAGAGCAAACAGTGTGGGCTCTAGGAGAATTCAGACCAGGAGTCTAGTCCCAGTACTGTGTCTTACTAAGCCTGTGAACTTGAGCACATCACCAAACTCCAAGGCAAAGATTACAATAAAACAAAATGCTGCTTAGCAAGGAAAATTATTCAATATATAATGTGTTCTGGGAGTCTCTTCTTCAATTGGGTACAACTCAAGACTCCTAGAATTTTTGTCAATGACCAATATCTTTCTGAACTCCCAGATGCCTGTTCTTGTAAACCACCCCTACTTTTATTAATTTAACCATCACCCAAAATCTAGACCCCACTTAGAGTTTTTCAAGTTACACACAGGACAATCTAATTGAACACTCTTTTAATGGAGCGGGCCCTAGATTCCCCAACTCAGGACAAAAAGTGCAAGCACAGTGGCTTCTGGACATCCTACCTCCCTTGAATGTATCAACTTTATTTCTCAGAAACTTGCTGGAGATTATGTGCATAGAACATTTAGTTTGTGCACTATGTTTGACTGCGCTGGAACAGGAACACAGAGCATTTTCCATCTCTGCTGCAGGTGGAGATTCTCTGTTTTTTTTTTGTTGTTGTTTTTTTCATAATCCCAAAGTAAACGTTAGGAACAGTTTCTCAGTTTCTCATTCCAGGCTTAGTCTCTCAATTCTGAAATGCACCATTTGATGGCCTGGCCCCTGCTGACCATGTTCACAGCCTCAACCAGCCTACCATGCAGCTTCCTACTGGGGAACTTGCAGTTTCCTAAGATTCCAAATTGCCTTGCCTCAGGGCATTTACACTTGATTGCTCTCATCCCAAACCTCCTCCTTTTATTTATCCCTGCTTTTTACTTGTTCTTTAGATCTTAGAGATTGTATCAACATCTTTATATGTCATCTTTATATGACAGTTGCTCCTAGACTGTGAAATTAAATGGGCAAAGGCTAGTTTTGTTTGTTTTGTTTTGTTTTGTTTTCTTTTGTTTTGTTTTGGAAAGCATCCCCAGTACTAACATGAAGCCTTCCAAAGAGCTGATGCTCAAGTAATGATAGGGAAATAAACAGGAGAGTGAGTATGGAGTCTAATAAATTAGGATTCAATTTCTCTTACATCCCTGAAAAAATCTAA